TCAATAATGGCAGCAGAGAGCAAGTCTGTCTCCCTTATGTTCAAGTTATCCATCCCAGGCTGGGGTAGCCTTCACACCCCTAATCCCAGCAGGACTCACACCCATAATCCCAGTGGATCATGAGTTAATCACAAACTCTAGAAGTCCACCCCATGTCTGCACAAGGCTCTGGGGGGACAGCTAGACACAAACAGTAACAGAAGGGCAGACCAAGCAATCAGAATATCTGAATATAGGTACAGAGCAAAGGCTGCTAGCTCACAAGCCCATGGGGAAGAGCAGTCATCTGTCACACAGGAAGCAGACCAGGCTGCATCTGGTGTGTGGGCTTGACGCAAAGGTCACACAAACAGGTGCTGAGACTGTATGGGGACTTCACACCATCGGCTTTCTACCCAGGATGTATACGTGGGGGACCAAGATAAGACTTGTAATTTATATGGGGTTGAGGTAGGGCTGGGTCAGCAAGAGAGCACAGGAGGACTAGGGAGAAGCTGGTAAATCTAAGAGGTTAGAATACTATGCCACCTTTTGTGCTGTTCTGTTGAAGCTGTTACTAGAAATTCTGTTTAAGCTCTCCCCTTTCTAGGTGCCTTCCAAAAAGAGTTAAGGCCATCATACTAAAGTGACGCATACGTACCCATGTTTATAGCAGCGCAATTCATAATTGCTTGGACAAAGAAAGTGTGGTCCTTCCAGACCATAGAGCACTACTGCTATAAACTGGAGTCATTTGTAAGAAAATGGATGCACCTTGAGGCCATAATGTTAAATGTAAAAAAATCAGACACACATTTAAATATTGTATGATTTCTCTTTAAAAAAAAAAAAAAAAACTATTTCGGGGGGTACTGGGAATCAAACTCAGGACCTTGTGCTTGCTAGGTAAGTGCTTATGCCCCTGAGCTATCTCCTCAGCCCTGCATGGATTCTCTTATATGAGCAATAAATAAATTGCAAAATGAAAATGGATCATAGAAAGTAGGGAGATTTCAAAGACTTAGTTTACATAGCAAGGAGTTGTTGCTGCAGTTCACAGCTAGAATTTCTCAATCCCCAGAGACATTTGCTTTTCCTTAGAGTTTTCAACTGATTGGATGAGGCCCGCCCATGTTGTCAAGGGCAGTCTCCTTTCCTTAAAGCCAGTGTTAACCATGTTTCCGAGAGGCCCTCAGAGGAGCACCTAGGTTAGTAATTAATTAACCAACTTGCTACTATAGCCCAGTTGAGTTAGCACACAAAATTAATAACACTCCTCCTAAATGCATGATATTCTTTTATGTATGAAGATGAGGACTGGGGAATCAGGAAATCGAGCTCGTTTCTGTTATCAAGGACTCTCTTCAGGATGAGGCATGCTGTGGAACTTCCTGCTGTACTTAGTGCAAGATGCTCTGTGCTGTGGCTCCCCTTTGCTTCCTGCCCAGTGGCCTCCCCTAAAGCTTGGTTCCTCCTCCTAGGTCCCACTATTTTTTAGCAGTTTCACTGAATTTGTAAGGGACTCCACAGCGCTGTCTGTTTCCTGTCACTGGCCAGAAGGAGTGCCTCACCGAGATGGCTGGAGCCGCGTTAGCTGCTGAGGATGTCCCGCTGCTCCCACACTCGCATCTGTGTAAACGCTCACAAATGGCCTCCGTCCTGGAAGTCTTGCTTCTGGGGGGGCTCGCGCTCCTCAGCCTTGAGAGTGCCCTGGGAGTAGAAGCAGCCAGGGATCTAATACACTGGCCCAATGGCCCTAGGGACTCTGGTCACACCAACAAGTTCTCCTGTCATCTCGTAACGTTGTGTGATCTGCTTACTTATAAACTTTCAAAATATTTCCTAATGGTGTTACTTTCAAGAAATATCTGTGATCAATACTTAGGGAATAATTCTCTCTAAGAAATTATATATATCTAAAGTGCACTCACCAGGCAAACAAGTTTATAATTTTTTTTAAGGCATTTGGTTCAGGGTCTACAGGGTCTCACTACACAGACTGGACTCATAGTGATCCTCCTGTTTTCAGCCTCCCAAGTGCTGGGATTACAGGTGTGCGCCACTACACCCCATCTCAATCGATGTGTCAGCGCACCCCCAGGGCAGGCCAGCAGGGCAAGTTTGTAATTTTTAATGTTTTCATTTTCTTTTCTCTCTTACATTTTTTTGTTTTTATCCTTATGTTTTTTTTTTTCCTTTCCTGCTTTGGGTCTTTGAAGACTAAACTCTTCAGATTTTGTAAGTATGAATATGAGCTTTTTTTTTTTTAATGTATTTGATATAGCGTCTCACTATGCAGCTCAGACTTGTAGTGATCATCCTGTGTCAGCCTCCCCAGCAATGGGATTACGGATGTGTGCCACCACACCTGACCTCAGTGGCCTGCTCAGCACACGGGGGAAGGAGTAATGGGGCTGGTGTGGCATATGGTGCTGGGGATCAAACCCTGGTCCCCTGTGCTTGCCTAAGCAGGTGCTTAGTCCACCGAGCTATCTTGCTGGCCCTGAATATGAGCTTCTGATTTAGATTCTTTACTAAAATAATTTCCTGTGGTCACTACCTTCAATGTTGTGTTATCTTTTATTAACAGATTGTGTGCTCTTTTTAATCAGTCATAGCAACAACAGGTGGGTTGGGACACAAGGTCGCATGGGAGGACCACCTGCTATTGTTTACTTGGTCTCCTCTTGCCTGTTGGGGGTGAAGTGAGACCTGGGAGTTAGCACCGAACCAAAGATTGTCCCAGCTACAGGAGTGAACAGTCAACCCATCTTCTATTCTTTCCACTCCTGGTTAGGCTCTTCTGGTTCAGAATCTTAACAGGAAGGATAGTGTGGAAGATTCACAGAGAAGAGGAAAGACTGGAAAATTTGAGTGATAAAAACAGGAAAGGCGTAAGGATCACATTGATGTTATAATATGGAAACTTTGTAATCAAAACCTTGGTTTTCTTTGCCTAAAATAGGAAAACCCATGTGAAACTGTCTTCAGGCTCTGGATCAGTTGAGGGGAAAATAAGAGTCTGAAAGTTTCTTATCCATAATAACTTCTGTTAAAATGGAAAATCATTAACCTTAACTTATTTTAAGAGTACAAATAATAGCAATACAATATTTATTCATTGTTTAGCATCAGACCTTATGGTAAGCATGTTATATACATTAACTCATTAAATCTTCACAAAAATTAAATGACTCAAGTCCTGTGAATAGCTAAAGAAAGTGCCATGTGATGAGGTTAAGTAGGCCGTTCACAGTTGCACACCAATAAGGAAAGGAGTTACAATAGGAAAACATCTCAAGCAGCACAACTCTGCCTAACTTTGGCAGAAGACCCCCAAAACATGCATTTTTCTTTCACATATTTTCCTATACATTTATTTCTCTTTATTTCAATCAGACTTTTTTTTTTTTTTTACATCTTGTCCATACTGTGGGAGAATCTGACTGTATCTTTAGCTGTCTTCTATTTCTGTGGTAGATTAGAAGCCCCTGCTACGCAGGGCATGATGATATATTTATATATTTGCGTTCATTTGTAATAGGATAAAAATTTACACCATTTTACTGAAATTCTAAAGACTGGAATTTATCACACTTCCAGCGCTATGGGGGTAGTGCTATTGGTTCTCCTGGGTAGTCGCATGACAGTCACCACGTGATGTCTCTCTTCATGAGCTTGTGACAGGTGCTCTGAATCTGAACCCATCTGCCGAGTTTCCAAGGTGAAAAGATGCCTTGATTCCACCTTCCCGGAGCCTTGGCATGATTCTCCCCGCAAGCCCACCACCTGCCCCCACGTCTCCACCTCGGCTCGCTTCTGGGTTTCCCACTGGGTGGCCTAGTTCAGCTCTGTGCTTCGAGACCACTCCTGACCTTCATCTCTTCGGCTGCTGCCCCTCTCCCACAGCAAGTCTCGCCATTCTCTCCTCATCCTCCCTACCATCCTATAGTACTTCGTGGCCTTACTGTATATTTGCTCATGGATTGTGTCACCTTTCTTGTTCCCTCACCCAGTGCCTCTCAAACTTTAGTGAGCATGAAGATTTTCTATTTCCTTAAAAAAAATAAAAGTAAAATGACCTAATGATCCTGAGAGTCCACCTCTGGGTAGCTACCACAGAATTGAAATCAGGGTCTGAAACAGACGTGGCAGCACTGGTCATTGTTGACAAAGGGAGGAATCCACGTGGCCTCCAATGACTGAATGGCTTGGCAGAGAATGTCTGTGTGCTTCCAGGGGTATATCACTCTGCCCTAAAAAGGAAGGAAGTTCCGGCACATGCTCCAACATGTGCCGGAATGTTGAGGCCGCATGTCACGTGCAGGGAGCCTAGAGTCACATACATAAACACGGAGTAGAGGGCAGTGGCCAGCGGGAGGGCAAAGTTGTTCAGTGGGACATAGTGTTTGGGGAGATAAGAAGAGTTCTAGAAAGGTGCTACTCAACAGTGTGAGTGTATTTCGTAGTATTCAAGATGTCTTCTACGTTGCCTATATTTTGCCATGATTTTTAATGAAAGAATCATTTGGAAGCAAAAAAAAAAAGCTCCTCAGCCCACCTATGAGATAACCATTTGGGATTTTATTTTATTTTTCTTATTTTGGTCTGGATGGAAGGCAGAGAAAATGTCTCATCCTAATGGTCACTACCATGTTCTTTCGAGGCAGGTAGATTTTGGATGGGATTGAGTGTTCGGGATGGTATGGCCACAGACGGCAGGTAGCTTTCAGGACAAATTTGAAGGAGCCTGTAGATTTTGCAGTATGTTAAGTATTGTTTTAAAAGCCTTAAAGTACAGCCTGCCTGCTTCTAAGTGAAAGGGAGAGAATTATCTCATAAATACCCAAATGCTCAACATTTAACTTCGTCCCAAATCAATATTGTGTGTGCTTTATATGGAAGATAACTGAAACTGAAAAACTGCATAAGTTGTCCTTGATTGAGCACAAAGTTAAAAGGTAAAATATGACTGAGATGCTTCTGTGTGTTCACCACACCATTTCCTGTTTTGAGGGGACCCAGGGCGACTAGATGTCCAAGTTTAGTTGACTTTGGAATTTGATTCCTGCCATGTGATTGATCTCTGGCCCATGCACAAAGACCTCCAGACCCAGCCCTGCTTAGCTCCTTTCTTTCTTATTCTTCCATTGCAAATCTGCAGGACCCATGTTCCCAGTGGCAGTCCTATAAGACAGGGAGGAGCTCTGACCTGCCCCACACTTAAGGTGAGTAAGAAATGAATGTTGATTGAGTCAAACTACTTAGGCCTCTGACGCATTTGTCCCTGAAGCATGACCTGCTTCATCCTCACTGAATCCATATCCTTGGCTGCTCCTGTCAGTGGCAGTGGCTACCTCTGAGCTCCATTTCATAAATTCCTTTTGTATCTCTTGCAGCACCAACAATAGTGCTAAATTTACAGCAGCCATTCCTCTCAAAAATATTTTAGGACTCGTGGGTTATGAAAATGATGAAAATTCCAGGCTAAGAGAGAGAAATGGAAAACCCCATTATTCTGGGAAATTGAAGCAACTCCAAGAAAACCATTTAGGTAATTCTTAACTTCAATTTCTTACTCCCACCTTCTGTCCCTAGTACTTTTTCTCAACTTGCTGCTGTCATTTTTCTAAACCCTCAGAAAATTGAGCTTTAATTTTAGCAAAGAAAATGTAAGACAAAACATGTAAGGAACAGGCTAATGATTATTTATAAATAAATTGCTGTTGCCAAATGAGACCAATGCTCAGCGTTGAGCTCATGTAGGGAAAATTAGATCCATTCCTAAAGAAGCAGAGCCAGCTCAAGGCCGTTGCCAAATCAGCGGCTCTGATGCACACATGGCCTGAGACACGAAAAGGGGAAATGGAAGTCAGAGGCTTGGATCAGGGCAAGTGCAAGCCATGAGGGCAAACAAAGGCAGCTTCCCAAACCTGAAGGCCTCTAATTTGTTGTTTTGAAAACTATCATCCCAGCACTGTATTTCTTTTGGGCATTTGTGCATGTGGTAAAGATATCAGTAATAATTGGTATATATTTTTCCCTTTTCTTCAGGGATGTGGCCATCAGTACTTAGCTAGGCATATGGCCATACTAAAGATAGACTGCATTTCTAAGTCTTATATGTAGCTGTTGGTAGCCAAGGAATTATGTTCTGGCTCATGGCATGAGAGAAGGGACAGCCGCATGTTCCAAGATAGGTCCTTGCGTCTGGGGATGGGTAGAGGCCATGCGGGCCCCTTCTCTTTTATGCATGCAAGGTAGATCTGATGGTTTCCAAAGAACACGAGGATGGGGATAAGTTCCTCAAGTGGGTAGAACAGAAACTGGAGGCACATGTACCTGGTGATTTTAGAGCTGCCATGAAAACTATCAGCCACTCTTTGCTCAAACATTTTGTGAGAGACATGTGCACTTGCCATTCTTCGATCACACGAAAGCTACCATAACTTGGGAATTTTTTTTTGGGGGGGGGCCTGGCTCAGGATGCTTTGGGGGCAGGTCTGGCAAGGCATGAGGCTCTGGAGATCGAACTACAGTATCCAGAGCCTGACTGCCTTCGCTTAAGCAGGCACTTATACAACTGAACTACTGTGCAGGCCCCATGACTTGGGATTTTTGAAGTTCATGACATTGCGGTATCCCAGCATTTGTGCACACCCACACAGTGCAGGTTTCTACCTTAGTAAATGCCTTGTGGATTGCCTAAAATGCATACAGTTGGTTCATAATCGGCAGACACAGGCAAGTGATATAGTAAGTATGTCAGTTGCATTGTTTTTTAAATAGGTCATATTTTGGAAACTTTGTGTTGAGAATCTTTCCACTGAATATGTGTACTAGGAAGGGTGTAAGCGTATGTTGGACTCAATAGTCTTTTTAAGCAGTGTACACGTTAAGCCCTTACCAAAATAAAAAAAAAGAAATAGCATAAAAGTCTTCAAGCTAACTGTAATGTGACAGGAATCACATGCTTTATGAAAGAGCAAATGGGTCTGGGAATACAGTCAGTGGCACAGCCCCTTCACGGCAAGCGCAAGGTTCTGAGATTGATTTCTGGTACAATAAAAAAAAAAATGTGTGTGCATTTCAGCCTGGTTTTCCCCTCTACACCAGAATCCTATCACTTAAATAAACAATGAAATTCAATAATCATTCCTTGAACAGCTATGTTGCCTCTGTGCAAACCTCTGGTGATAGGAAGTGCAATGAGACATAGTGCAGGCAGCATGAGGCACAGCTCGAGGGCAGCCATGGGATGGGGCAAACATGAGATGGTGCACGGGAATAATTTTTGTCACAAGGTCATGGATGAACAGGATTTCCCAAGGCATAGAGCACTGGTGGTGAACCTATAGCAGGCTTGTTATTTATTTTTCTTTTAAGACAAAAGATGTCAATGTATGTTGGGTTTTTTTCTAAACTAAAGCCTGAGCATTCAAGTTTAAGTGCAGCATTGGCACTTTGTGATAAATAAGTGGGTTTGGGGTTGCAGTTTGGGCACTTATCTCTAGAAGGTTCATTGTCACTAGCACAGGAGACAGAGATGTTCCAGAGAAAGAAAAGCAGGTAGAAAGGGGGCTAAATGTGCCTGCTCTTATGGACAATCATGGTTGAGACACAGCTGTGAGATCTCAGCCAAGATTTGTGGCAGCCATGAGAACATGTGTTTTGGTCCTTGAACACAGGAGGTGGGCAGCACACGACAGCACACACTGCCCACACAGACATTGAGGCGGTTCATTTGCAAACTCTTGAAATGTTAGAAAATACTGTTTTTTGTTTGCAACTAGTGAGAGGGTAGAACATATTGCTTCTGAGTCCCTGAGAGCTCCTTACTGTGCTCTAGGTAAAGCCCAAGCCTCGGTGAGCCCCTCAAGTCCACCCTCCACCTGACACTAGCATGCGTGTCCAGACTCATCTGTCACCGCGCCTCCTCTCTTTGTGCTGCAATTGCAGCTGTAGTGCCAGATGTAGTGGCTTCCAGAGCTGACTCACAGCTTCAGGTCCGCAGCATGCAGCTATGGAGTTGCTGGCTGCTTTCTTTCCACTGGTGTTAGACTGAAAGCTCAGCAGTACTCTTGCCCATAGGGGGCGGGTGACAATATGAAGCTACAGTGCTACCCCTGCGCTGTATGAACTCTCCTGACACCTGCCATGATATATCTATGAAGGTACATTATGAGCCACCCAGACATCCTACGCTAATCCCTCACACATTACCAGATGATGACTCCGAGTTGTTACTATCATGCTAACTATGCAGTAAGAAATGGCAATACATTGAAAGTCTTTGTACGTGGAAAAAAGTCTGAAGACCCAGGAGACTGCTACGTCAGTGACATGTTTAGGGATATACATGAACACTCTACCACATTAAAAAAAAAAATTACTGCAGTAGTCATTTCTCAACACCAAGAAGGTAACACCATTACTGTTTGGAGCCAGGCCTAGAGCAAGGAAGGGTTCTGTGTAAATCTGAGCAGAAGGGCAAGTATCTCTACCACTTAGGGCATTTGACTCAGCAGATGCTGTGGTACTGGAAATTTGTGAGCGGGGAAAAATAATGACATGGAATTTAGGCAAGCCCCAGTAGGAGAATGGCCACGTTGACCCTGGCGCTCCAGACTGACATTATGCTTCCTGTAGGTAGGAGAGAACTCTACAACGTGTGAGAACCACTTTTTGGTATACTATTTGTCTCTAAGAAAGACAGAGAATTTGACCATGAGGCATCAAGTGGCCATATGTTCAGAGCTGTCTGACCTAAGCAAAGTCTTCTCAAACTACCAAGTAAAAGCTTGGGTAGACCCAGTAGCAATCCATTGTAGGATGGAGTGGCTCATTCAAGACTGGGAATGAGCAGGGACAAAGGGTATAATTAAACTGCCCTAGTGGCTGTGCAGAACCCCCAAATCACCCACTGGTATTGCCCAGTGCCTGTCTCTCAGAGAATGTCAGAACCAACATGTATGTGTATGAGGAGGGGTCCTTATGACCAGGCAATGGAGGTGTAAAGCCCCAGAGTTTTATTCAGTTATGGGTTGGCTTAGTATGTGAGTAAAAGTAAAAAATGGGCTACTGGGGTGCCTTTTCAGGGGTGGCAAAGAGAAGTCTCCCTAGTTATTAGTCTTTGAAAAGGTCTTAGTCTCCAATTATATGGAAAGAGAAGCCCACTGCCGGATGTAAAAGCAGTGGGCTCATCAGCAGCAGTGAATGACTTTGCTGGTTATGATGAGGGCTGCAAAAGAGAAACATTGGAAGACTAAGAACAAGAGTATCCCAGGAGAGGTATGTGGGTATACCCATGGAAGTGACTTGCCCACTGAACAGGCAGTAGCCAACCAAGTCAGACCTGATGATTGTCCACTCCAGGGTTGGCATGTGGGCCCATGAATATAGTAGTCATGACAGTAACATGGAAAATGGATATGTTCGTAGGAACTCAGGTGCATCAAGGCTATAATATAACTGTTGTCCACTCAATGTCCAATCTACCCACAAGAGACCTCCACTGAGTCACAGATATGGCTTATTCCCCAGCTTGGTGACACATTAATTATACTGGACTGGACAATAACACATCTTGACTTGAATTAATACATATTCCATGTGTATGGTTGCCAATCTACCCACAATATTTCTCAAAGTACCACTAACAGTACTTGCATATCACAAGATGTCATATAATGGCCCTTGAGCCAGGTATGATGGTACACTGCTATAATCCTAGCACTCAGGAGGCTGAGGGAGGAGGATTGCTAATCATTCAAAGCCAGCCTG